GGTGGGGGATGTGCAGGGGCTCGTTGTATTGCTTTTCTGTTCGTATATAGAAGGTTGGCTGCGCGAGTTGAGGGGGTGCTGCTGCCAAGCTGAATAATAATGCTTCACTTGTTTTATTATTTTTACAGTTGTTTTGTTTGCTACAGCGTGCAATGCAATATGGAGGTATATATATATATATATATATTTACATACCACTGCTTTATTTTATTTTATTTTTCGTCTGGGAATGTTGGAATGTTTTTCTTATATTTTTTCTTCTTTTTCGTATTATATATTATGCTTTAGCACTTTTATTTATGACGACATTTTTTCTTTTTTTTTCCTTTTCACTTTTCTGGCATTTTTCTTGTCTTCGTATGTATTTATTTTTATGTATACATATAAGTGTGTGTGTATATATATATAAGGTTGCGTTTTGCATTTTTATATNACAGTCTACAATGGACGTAGATAAATCAAGCTGCGACTTTGTTTTTGAAGACTTCAAGGAGTCGTTGAAGCGATGCCATTTCTGCGCAATCGACCAGGAAATGACGGGAGTGGATTGCAGCGGGAAATCTCAGTCGTGGGCAACGGGGCTGACGGATCTTTACGAGGATTCTCGTGAAGTGGTTGATCGATACATTGCGTTTCAGTTTGGTATTGCCTTATTTACGTTAATTGAGGAAGGCGTGTATGAAGTGAAGCCGTATAACTTTTACTTACGAAAGACATCCGGTGACTTTGTTATGAGCTCTGAAGCCATATCATTCTTGGCATCCCACAGCATGGATTTTCAAAGGTGGCTTTTGTCCGGTATGCCTTATTGCGACAGAAACGAAGAAAAACGTTTACGTGAAGAGGAATCGAAATCCTTATATTCGGAGGTAGAAGTTAAAATTGCTCAATACATCTTAGAAAAAATTGTGCAATGGTATCATGATTCCGAAAATAAAACAGAGAAAATGGTACTATCTGACGTCCTCATTACTCCAGAAGTTGAGGCATTACTATTTTCTCATCTCTCAGTGCAGGAAGTATTCGTCGAATTAGAATATAGTAGGCAACAACGATTCTATTCTTCGATTGATATTTCTGTGCAGCGCATTCCAGCTAAAGATTTTGAGCATCACATTAAGAATGTGAAAGAAGTAAAATTACCGGATATTTCAAAGAGACTGGGTTTCCGACGTTTTTGGAACTGTATTACGGATTTTAAAAAACCTATCATTGGCCATAATTTTTGGTTGGATTTGATGTTTATGCTTCATATGCACGAGGCACCCCTTCCAGCAAACTATATTGAATACAAAAAAGAACTTCATCAATTATTTCCCTGTGTATATGATACCAAAACCCTTTCTCGAGCTATGGCTACGAAGAATCCGTTCAAATCCTTGCACTTGGAGGGATTATACCGAGAATGTTGCAAACACAATGAAGATGCTGAGAATTCGCTTGTGTTTAGGTCTCCACCTGGATATCACTTCTATGACCCAAAGTGTACAGGAAGTGGAGCCCGAGCACATGAGGCAGGATATGATGCGTACATGACTGGTGTTGCCTTTGCTATTATAAAAGATATTTACAGAAACAAAAATGGATTTGAGTTAGGAAAGTGGGAGAATGTCATTTCGGTTTATGGAAGTCACTATTATATGAATATCACAAGCGAAGACTTTTTGAAGACAAAGACTACGTTTCTGGTGGAATTTGAAAATGATCTTGAAAAGAGCTTTGTAAGGTTTCTGCTTTCTTCAAATGAAAACGTGAAGGTGCAAAAAATGGATCAAGGTGCCGATGGATTCGATTGCCATTTGACCTTTGACCCTAGTGCTGAGGGGAAATACAGAATGGTTACTGTGCAATTTAAGGATGATACAACAAACGAAGAATCTGTACAAAGTCGCATCCATTTTTCTGCGACGCGCTTAAATGCGTTGCTAAAAAATATGATAGGCGAGAAGGGTATTGCTTTACCAGAAGTCAAAAGAGTTGTTCGCCTCGTATAAATCTTTAGGGGCAAACGAAAACCAAAGAAAAAAGAATAAGTAAATCGATTAAGTAAAACAAATTCCATTGTAATTAAATAAAAATTAAGTGTTGGAAAAAATCAAATGAGTCTCCAAGAATTTTTTTAAAAACTGTGCGATATCTTCTGCAAATCAGTCTATGACTATGGATATATCTATCTATCTATCTATTTGAAAAAGTGCTCGACGAAATCTGGGGGCATTGCATTTTCTATTCTTTTTATATTGTATATATGTGTTAGTGGTTTGGAAATTCCTTTGAATAGGATGAATGCGAAGAATATTAGTTTTGCAATTGGGGACTGCAAGATGTCTATCTACATGGGATGATGGAAGTGAGGGTTATGAATGGAAATCACGTGCTTTAGCAGAAAAGCGCTCATTAGCGCTAGAGTATCTTGGGAATGTTAGCAAAAGAGTACAAATCCATGATTCAATTCGTCTGAAAGCTAATGTTAACAGGGAGGCCATAAAAAACTCTACTATACCTAGTTTTCTTGGAGGGGATGACAAGAGTTACGATGACTCCGAAGAAATTGATTATCATTCACTTCTCCAAATGGTGGAAGGGGCAAATGACACTGACACGTTGGCTTACCTTTCTTCATCCGATGCATCGCTTTTAAAAGACGAATTTTTACAAAGTGATCATGCGGAAGAAGTGAAGCTACTAAATCAATGGGTTGGTCTTCGTCGTGACGTTGCAGATTACCAAAATTACGCTGCAAAACCGGATGGAGAACGTAATGCATGGTCTGCGTGGTATCTTCGTAATGTCCGGGCGTCTAAGCCACATGAGGATTAGAAGATACTGGTGCCTTTGAGATGCAATATATATATATATATATATATATATTGGAACGTTAAAAAAAAGAACAACAATGGAAGATTCTTTTTTTTTTTTACGTAGTTGTTGTTCTCGGTGGGTTTGTTTTTTCTTTCAATTGATTCTTTCTGTCGGGTGCTTTTTTTTCTTTCTGTTTGCAAGAAACAAAGGATGAGTATGTTTCTTCTTTGCGTTGTGGCACTTTCGGGGCTCATCCAGGCGGCCTACGCAGATGATTCGTCTAATACGAAGACCCATAACACAATATCAATGTCCGGAGATGTCGCCTCTGGTCTTCTTATAGGCGCCGGATTAGTCGGATTACTTGCCTTCTCGGTGAATATGTTGACTGACGTGGAAACGTCTGATTCCTTGGCTCAACCGGAGAGGGATGGCAATTAGCTGTTTGTTCCTGCCGATCTACACTAAAAGTGAAACCGTCGTGAAAACAAGGCAAACAAAACAAAATATCTACACAGATGCTTTTTTCTTCAGCTTGCCGCCATCGGTGTTGACTTTTCTTTTTGAGAAGTGTTAGTCTAGCAATTAGTTCTTTTTTAAACTTCTTTCCGTTTTTTTTTCTTTCTTCTTTATGAGAATAGGGAAGGTGAAGAGTATGTTGATAAATGAAGGTGATCTAGACGCCATTACTAGGATTTTCTCACTTGGGCTTCCGCGAACCCTGGCTAGGCATGCTGTTATTGTATTGCACTACTTTAGAAGTGTCAGTGATGAGGTTATTCCTATTGACGTCTTTGTCGCTGGTTGCGTGTTGTACGCACTAAAGCAGCGCCAGTGTCCCAATGGCAACCACGCTGTTAAACGGTGTTTGGCACGTGCAAAGGAAAGTGATATTGTCGGTTTTGAGCTGGTTCTTGTACAAGTTATTCGGCGAAATGTAGTGTTGGTTGAGGCATGCCTTCGTTCTGTATTTCACGATTTTTTGCTAGTTAATCCAACAGCCAGATTTGACCGTGAACGGTTGATTCAGGTGTGCTTGCATCTTATTAGTGTTCTGTACAATACTAAATGGTGCCTTTTTCCTGAAAGTGCAGCGAGAGGTGCACTTGTTGTAGCGTGTGAAAAGTGCGACCTTGACGTGAGAAAACTGCCGCCGAAGTTCGAGGAGCAGACAGTCACTCAAATTTCTGAATATCTCCGTTGCTCCTCTTGCAAGTAGAAGAAAGCTGTTCTATTATCTTTCTTTTTATTATTATTATGAAGGTCTGTTGAAGGCGACGATGAATCTTAACATTGTGAAAATGTCTTTCTAATTCTGCCGATTACTCTTTCTTTCTTTCTCTTTCTCTCTATTTTTTTAAATTCTTTCTCCTTCATTTAGTTGAATATGGAAGAGGACTTGGGTGATTGGGGTCTTCTCAGCATTGCCGACATATTAGATGCAGACTTGCCCCGAAAAAATGAGGTGGCGTCGATCACACCTATTTCGCTCAATGACCTTGAAATACCTTTGCTTCCATGTGAGCCGTCCTACGCTGCGAGGTATGCCCTACTTCTGATTAGGAATTTAAAGTGTGATGCTGAGCACCGGACTAGTAACCTAGAGGAAGTGGATGCATCTCGTTCTGCAAAACTCAAACGTTCGCTTGTCGCGTCAGAACTCATTCGTGAAAAACTTTTGGGTGCCATCGAATCTTTTGCTTTGACCGTTCAACAGGAAACTTGTGAACCAAATTTTCTCCAGACAATAGTCCTTTTGGGATCCCTTGTATGCCCAGATATTTGTTCTTTTTGTGATGCCCTCATTGATGGAACTGAGACAATAGCCCTGAGAACTACCTGCTCTCCCAATGACATAAGCTCATGTGTTGATGTCATTCAATCGTTTAAGTCTCAGGCCAATTTGAGTGTGCTAACAAACGAACAGCAAGCCAGGCTTTTCTGCGCCGAATTTTCGTTGTCTTTGCGCTGTGGAAAACTCAGTGCTGTTGTGAATTGCCTACTTCGGAGATCAGGAACAGAAGAGCTTAAAGGGGGATATTCTCCTCCTCCTCTGGAACACCGCGTGAATTTTGTAAAATCCAAAACAGATAGTTTTTTGACTCGTATTTGTGATTTACCATTTTCTGTGCAAACAGCTCAAGTATACTGCTTCCCTGGTGACGAAAAATTGTTTGTGTGCAGTGGAAACCGTGGATGTGTGTTTGATCAATTGGGTATGATGGGAACTCGTTTTAAGGCCAAAACGGAGTTTGAAGTTTCTCTAGGAAAAAATGCGAGAGTTGTTTTCTGCAATGATAAGGAAATATTTTTGGCTCAGCGAGCGACTTCGGCTATGGGTAGTGTTTGTTACAACTTACAAAAATGTGATCGTGCGTCTGGAAGGTCTCTAGCTACATCATTGATTAATTTTTGCTTTGAGGACAATGCAGCTTCGACACGAGAGGTTGTTTTCACTATGTGTGGTACAACGCTTACTTGCCTTGTTTGCATTGAGTCATCGAGGATATCAAATAGCAAATGCCATTTGTTGCAGAGGGATATTGATTCGGTGTTTTCTGCACCTCAGACTGAATTTCTCGTAACTTGTCAGAGTACACTAAAACGAGGACCGGCCTCCTCTTGTGAGAAGAGGAAATGCTACTACTTTACCAAGATAAATTCTGTATCGGTTGGTAGAGTTACCTTGAAGGAGAGTTTTCACCCATTTACTATAGAGATGTGGGTTTTCCCATGCAATGCATCTGAAAATCAGACTGTTATCTCACTTGGTGACAAGAACGTGGATGAAGTTTTAATTGAAATTGAACCCACTTCGGAGGGTGTGTTGTGGCGAGGCGGGTCTAGGACTCCGCATCTTGGGGCATCATTCGTATCGTTTGATGTGCCTGGGAAGCTGGCTTTTTGCCAGAGATGGTGGCATGTTGGACTCATATTTAAGGGTACTTCATGGGAACTATGGATTGATGATGCTATTGTTGCTCATGCACCAGCTCTAGTCTCTCCCGAGGCAATATCTGATATTGAGTGTTGTCTGGGAAAAAGTTTTGTCGGATGTTTGGCTGAAGTTCGCATATGGAATTGCTGCCGTACTCCTGCTCAGCTCTTCAGGGACAGTAGGCGATCCCTAACTACTGTAGAGCCCACACTTACTGGGTACTATCCACTTGATGAAGGCGAAGGTGATGTTATTGCGGATTACGCTCCAAATGGCTGCCATGCACTTTTGCACCATGGACAGGCAACATGGTCGTCTGTTGACCATTTTCCTGTTGCTCAACCCGATGCTTTGCGATGCATTGATGACTTTGCACCAATTGCTTGGCGTGAAGCCTCAGGTAAGCTTTTCTTGTCAAACTGTCCAGGATATGTTGCTATTGCTGTACCAACTGACGGCCCTTCACTCACCATTTGCGAGTACACAACATATGACCGAAGGCTCGTATTTCAGGCAAGGTTGGAACTTCCTGCCCGCACGCCACTTAAGGGTCTAGCATACAACGCATTGCGTCATTCTTTGGTGTGCTTTGCTTCTACCGTTGAGCAACCCAAACGACTACTGATTTGGGAACTACACCAGCAGCACTACTTCCCTTTTCTAAGGAAAGATTCTTACGAAAGTGTGTGGGAGTGTGAGAGAGATTTGATGACACAATGTGCAGCTTATGCTAGGCGTCTTGTGGGTGCGGAGCGCTGTTTAGTAGACCAGCTCTCGTGGTCTGTGCAGGTTCCGAGGCTTGTTGTTGATACAACAGAGGGACTTTTGACAAATCTGCTACGACTTATCCACAAGGTATTGTTTGACCAAAAAAATCACGTCTATGCCGGAGAATTATGTGCTCTGTTGCATGCCAATTTGTTGTGCCGGGCTGAAAATCAACACGAGGGATTACGAAAAGAAATTGGCGATGCGCTTCCAGATGCGCAGAGTCTTATCAAAGCTGCACAGGAGTGCAGTGAGACACCAAACGCACGGTCAGAACTATTGCGCCTCTCCTTCCAAGAAACGTTTTTTAGCACTGGCCTTCTCTCCATGACTTGCCGCTGCTTACTCTCCGAAAAAAGTCGTCTTGCCTTCATCAAAAATCAAGCGGGTCGAGGAAGATTTACCGAAAAAGAAGATTTGCTGTTTCGTTGCCTCCTTGAGTACTATGAGTCATTGCAAGCTTCGAGTTTGCTAATATCTAACGTGGAGAGTGCTCAGCTTTTCTGCAATTCCCTGATGGCGGAGGAAGTGTTTCAGATGGACCGATGGCTAACGGGTCACAATAAGGCTTTAGAGGCTGTGAAACGGACAAGTCACTGTCTCGAGGTGTTTCAAGAAATTCTTCTGGCTAAAGCTGTAGAGAAGCCTCAGGGGGAATGTAGCAACTTTGCAACTTTATATGCGAAGCTGCTTCTGCGAACGTGTGAAAAAATCATGGAAATTTCCTCCAAAATGATTCGAAAGAAACCGGAAATTTATCACGCTGGGCTTATTGTATGCATAGAACAAAGTGCAGTTGGTGCTCTATTGCCCTCATTCACTGTTGCTCTTCCTTTACTGCCTACGAGTGTGCAGGCGAGTTGCGTGCCTTCCCTGAAAGGGTGCCGTGAAGCGTTGTTCTCACTCACAGATGCACTTCCTCGAAACGAGCGTCTACCATATGAGCTTGGTGTAGCACTTACATCAGCTTTGTGTCGTATTGGTTGTTCACTACTTTTCTCTGCAGATATGATGACATCACGCGTGGAACCAAAATACTTGCACTTGCTTTGGGGGGGCGTCCGCAAGTCAGGATCAGAGCGGGACGCTATCATAAAGAACTTGCAGCATGGGGTTGGGTGTATCTCAAGGGTAGTGGATGAGCTTCATCGCGAGGATCCAGGAGCACTGCTTGTCATTCGGGATGATCGCTTGATGAAACTGGAGCGTCTTCTTATGGCAGCATTTTGCGCGCTTTTAATTCCTACGGAGTCTTTGAGAGAAGCAACGAAACAAATCTTGGCCCCAATGTTTCGGTACGTTCACAATATGCGGGCTTTGATTCTCTCAAAGCGACAAGAGAGCCGAGAATCACTTGATATTTTGGAGCAGCGGGCCTTGGTTTTGGCTCGTTTCGAGCCCATCTGCAAGGGGAAGCCAGACGTTTCTCCTCGTAACAAACCATTTTCGAAAGACGCAAATCCACAGCGAAAATGGAAACGTTTTTTCCAAAGTTGGAAGGCACTACGGGTTTTGAAGACAAAACTACCTCAACAACGAGAGATGGAAGCTGATGACACAGGTGCTGTCATTGTACAATTTCTCCAAGATGAAAATATGGATCGTGACAGTGTTGACCGTCTTGTTATGCAGCAGACGCAGAGAGCTCACTATCGTTTGTCTGGAATGCTGCTGCTGCGACAGCTAATTGAAGAGGCAAGAGTAAGCAGTACTCTCGCAGGTGTTGTTCTTCCTGTCGTAGCAAAAGCATTTACCGGATGGCATTACGCAGACAATGTGCAGTGTTGCTCAAAAGAAGATTTTCTTCGACTTCATGGTGCTTTCTTTCAGCTGCTGGAGCATGTAGTGGTTAACGTTAAAAGCGGTGAGCATAGCTTCTGGGCTGATGTTTTGTTAGCGCTATTGACGTCAGAACTTCGAGTGATTGACTTTCGGCGAATGAGAAAGGATGTAGCTGTGACGCTTGGTTTCTTATGGAGTTTTGAAAATCGAAAAATTAATTGGATACCGCGAGTAAATGGATGCGTACCGGAAAGTTTACGCAACACAGTACTCTCTGGAAGTGGGGCTGCTCCAGCTCTGGTAATTGGTCGCTCGGGCCGTACAATGAAGGGCTTAGGTGGAAGAGGAACTTGTGTAGTTTCCTGTGAGTGGTCTTTGACGCACAAGAATGTTTCCTACTACTTTGAAGTACTCATCGTGGACTTGTACCCTGGAGGTAGCTGTTGTGTTGGCGTTGGTCCTTCCGATTATAGTGTTTCACGTTTACCTGGATGGGACAGTGAGTCATATGCATTGCAGGGTGAAGAAGGCACCCTTTATGAGGGCAATACGCTTGGTCGACCAATTGGCTGCACATTTAGCATTGGAGATGTTATGGGTTGTGGATGGAACACAGAGACAAAGGAGATTTACTGGACCAAAAATGGGAAGGATATTGTAGCCTCAGTGCAGGTTCCACAACAAAGTCTATATCCATTGATTGGGTTGTGTGGGAAGGTGCTTGTGAAGGTTAACTTTGGCGCAGATAGATTTATATTCGATAAGTTGCCAGGACCCAAATCATTGAAGCAGAATTTGCCGGAAAATGCGTGGGACGTTTTTCGTATTTTTTCTCTTCGAGCGGCTCTTAGCGTCGTTGAATCATCCTGTGACTCAAGAACAAAGCATACTGAGTCACTTGAGGGACTGCGGACTGTCCTTGAGCAGTGTCTCGAGTGTCTCTGTGCAGAGATTACGCGCACCCTTCTTCTTCCTATGTCCGAAGTGTATGTGATATCACTCTGCGCCCATTTAACAACTCTGGGAAAGACACTTGTGTCTGTGCCAGACGGCATACTGGCATCCTGTGTGCAGCACGTAGCTATTGTTTTGCAGCAAGGAACCCATCATGCTCTCCAGAGTTCGATATGTTCTTCAAAGCTACGTTGTTCACTCATCACGGCGTGGTCTGCCTTTATGAATCTGACCGTTCCACGTGCTGTCACAGAGGATAGACAGTTGCCCAGCTTCCTTGACACGTTGCTGGCGCTGGGGCGTGAACTCGAGTGGGCTGTATTACAACGACCAGTGACTTCGGACTCCGAAACTTGTACAGTTTTTGAAGCCTGGACAGCCCTTGCCCTTTTGCAGCATATGAATTGCGAAAATCCAACACATCGTTGGAGGGAGGAGCTACATGCTTGGATCATGCAAAGCCTGGATGGATTTCAGGATAGAGCCAGCACATCCTTGGCGCTTCGAATTTTATTCGGCGGCCCTCGACTTGCCGTGCCTGGAGATCGTGTAATAGTGCAAAAATCCAAGCATACAAAAACGACAGCCACCTTGGTTGACTACTCACTTGATGATGAAACATGTGACATCATTGAGAACCAAGAGAAACGACAAACTGTCTCTTTACGTCAAACAGAGATCACTGTAGGAGATGAAATACTGACTTTCCCTCAGACAGATAACAAGTTCCACGAAATGCAGATGGGCCAGGTCCTCAAACTAGCGCAACGGCTATTGGGGGAAAATGGTGCGGATGCTGGAATTGTGGGAGCCGCTTTTCAGTCCAGAGTCCTCGCTATTGTCTGGCGATGTGTGCGGAAGGGATGCCTTGTCGTACCAAGTGAGTATTTTCCTTTCCTGGCTAAACTTTGTGATAGTGTTGAGTGTACCTCCGACGAACATCAGGTGCTAGTACGGGAGAAGCTGGTTATTGAATACTGCCTTCTTGGGAAATTGTTGGACAATAGTGGATGTGCTACCGTTACCGAGCCAATGGGGGGCCGCAATATTGACGGCAGGGAGACACGGACACGACTGGCACAGGAACTTTCTATGCGAGGTTACAACATTGACCTCTGTTTCCTTGCTTTAGATGAGACGAACAATGATTTCCAGGCGGCGCTTCAGCTTTTGGCTGATCACCATGGGGATTTTATGTCGACGCAACGCCGTACAGTTTCATCATCCAGCGAAGAAGAAGACATTAGCAGTGAAGATGGCGAGATTGATGCTGCTGAATACGACCTTCACGTTTTGTTTCCCGCTGAAAGCGATGATGGGATAGAAGAGGAAATTTCTATGGATCACTGCGATCCACTTAACGATGGTATTCGCTTTCTCGGTGGTTACGTATGTGTTACTTGTATGCGGCCTCTAGGGCGTACTTTTAGCATTGATATGCAAGTGTATCTTTTCGACGTTACGGTAACACAGGTTGTGTTTCACCAAAATTCGAATATGGAAGGGTGGCAGCTTGTGGCTCGTGTTCAGGGTTCCACACTCCATTGCGGTTGGGTAAAGGTGGGTGATGATACCACACCATCGCTTTGCAAGGCCCCCATAGAGTACGCGGATACTTTGCGCTGGATCCAGTTTACAGTTGTACAGAATTCATCTACATTCTCCCTTTATAAGGGTGGTGTTCTCCAATCAGAGATGAGGTTTCCTTACATGGGTGGATTGTTCGACGATGCGTTGTGCATTGGGGGGCGCGCAGAGAGTGAGGATACACGCCTAAGTGGAGGTGTAAAGGACGTCCGTTTTTTTAACGTTGCATTATCACGGGAAGAAGTAAGTCGCCTGAAGACCCTGCAGGTTTCAGATTCCCTTCAAAGACAACCCCTCGTACTAGAATGTACCAGTGATATCATAAGGGTTGTTTCGACAGGTGTAGATTATGCTGCCAGCGTCACAGTTGTGGGCGCTGTAACTTGGTTTGAGCAGCCGGGTGGAGATGGGCGAAGTAACGACGTGTGCCAACAAGAAATCGACTTTACTACTCAAAATGACGAGGATGGCATCTTCACTATTGACGCTGTGAATGAGGCAAACAACTTTTCTACCATTTGGCGAAGACGGAAAGATCAACGGAGGGAGCAGCTCTTGTCCGCTGTACCAAAAATTGACAAGCAGCTTGCAGGTTATTATGCCGTAGCCATACTGACAGAAATGGCACGCCTAACATCTGACCCTGGTGTATGCCTCACGCGGGATCAGGTTCATAGGATGGTGCGATTTGCTGTAAGTTCTCAGGATACTGACCTATTGCAGTCACTTACTGTCACGCTGCAGCATGTGGCAAGGAGTGAAGATGCTAATTTCGTTAACTATGCTGTTGAAGAATTGGTGGATTTGGTACAGCGTGAACAAAAAATGCTCGTCTTTGAGTCGTCACACCCATTCAAGTCTACATCTGAAACTGCTCATGAGGTGTACGTCCCTGGTAGGCGTTCGTATGAGCTTCACTTCGACACTCGGTGCTCTTCAAGCAGCATGCTCGTCACATTCTATACTGATCATACACTCTCTAGCGTCATCACACAGGCCCCTGGTTACGCGCTGAATTCTCTCTCCATTCACGCCCCACGCTTCTTTTTTGATGTACGCATGGACACCTCCACTCCTCAGTGGGGCTACAAGGTCGTTGTTTTGTATGACTCCTCGGTGCCTCGGTTTGCAGCCAGGCTCCTCCGCTCCACGCTCTCTGCAGTCATTGTGCGAGGATTGTCAAGAGTTGAGTTTATCAAATCAAGCGCATGCTTGGAAGGTATGGCAAATGCGATCAGGGTCAATGTTGGTGCTACTCGTCGTCTTGTGCTTTCATGTCTGACAGACCTTTTCCTCCACGCGTCAGATTACACTCACTCAGTGCCGCAAGTGGCTCGCATGCACGACCTCCGGCGCATGTCAGAGCGTCTTTCCCGACGATCAGTAGGATCAGAACATTTACAATGTCGTTTTGTGCAGATTGTTTCAGAATTTTATGTTGCCCTCAAGGATGCAGAGCATTGCTGGCGTGCGATAGGGGACGAAGGAGCAAAGATTCGTGATGGGAAGTACGATGCTGCAGATGACACCGATTGCTTTCTTCGGAAGAGACTTGAGCAACGCAACCTTTACAAGCGCCGAGAAGGATTACGCGTTACAGTTGAAAAGGTTCTTCATCCAGATAGTCTTCGCATTGGTGTTAACCCAAACAAGACGATATTGGCATGGAGCGAGCGTTCCGGTAGTTCTGTCATTGCAGACGTTCCACTAGGTTCCGGGAAGTGGTATTTTGAGGTGCGCATGATGGCAACTGGAGATGCTTTTATTGGTGTTCTTCCCTCACGCCTGCGACACCACACGGACACACCTACTCTGGAGGCTTTTGTGGCGTTCAATGGAAAGACAGGTACCTACCGCGGGTTAAAGGACGTTACGGTGGCACCACGTCGCATTTGGAAGGCCAAGGACTACGTTGGTGTGGTGATGGATGGTGCCCAGAAGACTTGCACCTTCTTTGTGAATGGATACGATACTGGTCTATTCTTCTTTTTTGGGGCAAACGAGGCAGAGGCCGTTTCCGCGGCCGGTGCCGATCTGCAGGACGAGCAGGAAGTGTCATACCACCCATTTTTTGTCCTGGAAGAGGAGGAGGGCATCACCATTAACTTTGGCGGGGCACACTTTGAGTATGAAGCCCCGCGTGACTGTTTCCCACTCGATCCAGCGAATCTCGCGTTGGGGACGGTGATTCCGTACAATCAGCTACGCGCTTTTCATGACCTCGCTACATACATTGTGTCAGCCGGCCGCAATACACTACCTCCTTTTTTTCACGAGGAAGCGAACCCTTTCGATGGTTCGACGGAACGTTTTGGCCCTCCGCACGTCTCCCTACATTCTACTACAGGAGTGCAAGTGAACTTGCTGCTTGTGAGAAACACAGGGACCCGTTTTTCGACAGTAAGGGCAAACTGCCGTGTTTCAGGCGGAAAATGGTACTACGAGGTTACGTTGCGTTCTCAAGGGCTCATTCAGATTGGGTGGTCTTCGTCTGCCGAGCCACAGACCGCAAGTGTTGGGGACACACCCACCTCGTGGTCAGTAGATCTCTTTCGGCGAGTAAAATGGCATGATGGAAAGTCTGAGCTTCTCACAGCCTCACGCCGGTGGGTAGTGGGGGATGTCATTGGGTGCGCCCTGGATCTTGTGGAGAAGAAAATGATGTTTACATGCAACGGCCGCGTTCTGTGCGATACCACGTTAAGCGACACTACCTTTGCTAACATACCTGCTTCGATTATGTATGAGCCCGCTGTTTCTCTGCGAGCTGGGAACGAGGTGCTATTCAACTTTGGTTCATCTAGTTTCAAGTACAAACCCGAGGGCTTTTGTGCCCTGGGTGTACCCGATTCATGGAATGAGCGGATGGATGCATTTTACTCGACTTTGCGACCATCAACGACACTATTACGGTTGCGAGCCTTGAAGGAAATGTGGCTTTCAGCCGATCGGCTTGAGCTGAACGATACCCTGAAGCTTTATCATGCCGTTGTCGATGCTGTGCAAGGATACTGTAGCCAACACAGCAAGAGTTTTGCACAGGTGACGGAGGATGTTTGCGCAGAGATTTTTTGTGACACACCTATTTCTCTCCAGGAAGCGTGGGAGGGGTATAGAGTATTAGTGGCATTTTCTCGTGTTGCTCAGACTGTTATTCCTTTTCTTCACATCGACACAAGGCACCCTAACGTGTCGACGAAGCTCTTTCTGGCGTGCCGTAGCCTGTTGTTCTCATCACTTCGAAATGAGATGGTTGATGACATTTTACGTGAGACTAATGTACGTGCCGAGCACTTTCGAGTATCAATAAATCGAATAAAGGCTCGCACAAACAAAAGCTCGTGGATGTCATCAGTGTTTGGCCAGACTTTTTCGCTTGTGGCAGATCAGCACCCGCGCATATTCCGCACTAACAGAAGGTTCTGGAGCGTTGTGCTCCTTGGTGAAGGCTCGGAAGACGTGGGTGGGCCTTTCCGAGAACACATTGGTGAAATATGTCGTGAACTCATGAGCACATCACTGCCTCTATTTGTTCCAACAGCGAACAATGTTCACAACACAGGTTTGTACCGCGACGCCTTTGTTCCTGCTGCATCTGCGACAAGTACGGAGGAGCTTTCGGCCTTCACATTTGTTGGTCAGTTGATGGGTGGTGCTTTGCGAAGCAATGAGCCGCTTAGTTTTTTCTTTCCGCCCCTGCTGTGGAAGTTGCTTTGCTTCTACCCTGTCACCGAGTCAGATCTCGATGAAGTGGATCGCATTTGCCTGCAGTGTATCCGGGAGTTCCGTAACTTGAAGAGCCACGTTACCTCCAGTGATATGTTTAATGAAGTGTTTGACTCTGAGACATTCACGACGCATCTCAGCGACGGATCGGTAAAAGAGCTCATACCTGGTGGGTCTTCCACGCGGGTAACATTTGAACGTTGCGAAGAATATGCCAATGCCTTATCAGCCGCGCGGCTTGCTGAGTTTACGCAACAGCTTGATAAGATACGCGAAGGCTTGCTCAGCGTGGTACCAGAGACTGTACTTTGCTTGCTGACGCCGAGTGAACTGGAGTTACGTGTCTGTGGCAAGCCGGACTACTCTGTGGAGGAGCTGCGCGAAGGGGCTGTGTACGAAGGCCTTACAAGCGACGACAGACGGGTGCAGTTTTTGTGGCGGGCACTGGAGGAGGGGACCACACTTCAGCGTCGGTTGTTTCTGCGGTTTGTTTCGGGAAGAGATCGGCTGCCCGTCAAGCTACGTGTTCTTCCACTGTCTACACCGGGTGATGCAGATAGTGTACTGCCCCGCGCAGCCACATGCTTCTTCGCCGTGGAGCTCCCTGACTACTCCTCTGTCGAAGTGATGAAGGCAAAACTGTACTATAGTATCGAGAATTGCGCTGACATTGATACTGATTTCAACCCACGTGAGGTGGACGAAAGCGAAGCCCCACAGCTTATGGTAGGAATGGAGGACACACGACAGGAGGAGATGGACTCTGCCACAATGAGTGATTGATACGACATAACATTGGCTACGTTTTTTGTTCAAATATTGCTGCTGAAATTTTACTTTCTTTTGTAAACCACTACGAATCAGGTGTGCGTGTATCGTATATGCATGGTTTACAATGTATTTGTCGTGCGTAAAGGGGAGACATGAGAACGTATATATATATATATATATATNTGTGTGTGTGTATTGCGTGTGTTTTCTTCCTTTTTGTTGGTTGCGTATGCTTGAGTTTTTTTTTTACTTCATATTTTTGACCGCATCCACATCACAAGGTTTTTAAAGGGGATGAAGTGGCTTGTAGTTCTCGTCAATCTTGTCATCCTGCCATTACTGCTGTTACTTCATCCTGTGAGCGGGTTGAACGGCGCTGATTACATACAGGTGCATTCCGTTTTTCCACCCATACTTCAGAATTATTGGGAGAATGGCATGCGCTTTTGGGCCTTTGGTCTCAACACGGTTGTGACGGATAATTACATTCGCCTTACTGAAAGTGCCCCAGACGCCAAGGGCTACTTGTGGAATCGACACTCAAATCACATGGAATCCTTTGAATTGAATGTTACTTTGCAGATGCGAAAGCGTGGGTCTGGTTTTGTGGGGAGCACAAGTGATGGTGGCATGGGCATATGGTACACAAGCGCCGAGACATTCACTGGCGACAGCGACACTGTGTTTTTTGGTTTTAAACGACGATTCTTTGGCGTTGGCGTGGTGCTAGATCACTCAGACGTGATTTCATTGGTCACAAACGACGGCAGTTTTGACCTGGACGCCAACTCCATGCGTGTGCGTCGAAACGGATACTGTCGCGTCCCTGCTCTTGGCGAGTTGCACATCACTATCACCATTCGCTACGAGGGTGGAATTGCCAATGTGCTGTACGTGTACCACGATAATGTAGAGCCGCGACCGGAGGACTACGCGAGGTGTGTCTTCTGCACTACTGCCTCTGCACCTACGCTGAGTGGCGTCTACCGATTCGGCGTCACAGCGGCAAACTCGGCGCTGACGCAGGCCACACATGAGATTCATAGTGTCATCATGACTCCGTTGTCAGATGTATCCCACCACTTGGAGGAGGAGAACAAAGCTGCTCAAGTCCGTCTATTTGCCGCGGATGAGAAGGCAGCGCAGCAAGAACTTCTAGGCAGTGTGGGTTTGAATGGAGAGAAAGGATGACAAAGCATCTTTGTCTCTATTTCTTTTGTTTTTTTTATCTTGTCGTTGCTCACCTCGACTTGCTCCGAGTTCTGCTCTTAGGACAGCTGACATTATTGTGTCTGCCTGTTGACGTCGTCATACACAACATCATCTCTTGACGCTCTTGTTTCTGAATTTCGCTTCATCCCTGTCTATCCATAATACTTTGTTTGCTTCTCTTTTGTGTTGTTTTCTCCTTTGGCATACTTTTCCCCTTTCCTCTTTCTCTTTTCTCTCTTGTTTTTCTCTTTGCTTTTTTTTGTTTTCATGCTTCTCTTCGTGCTTCGAAGGATCTTACAAACGGGCTCGACGTGTAATTAATGGAAGCTGGAGGCTCCGTTGTTTCGTGCTGCGCAGCTGTAGATGCCTACGTTAAGAAGGGCGCGGGCATCGATTTGGTGCTCAAGTCTCTTCTAGGCATCACCCGGCTGGTGTCCATTTACAGCAGTGACAAGGATGTGAGCGAGAATTACGCCAAATTTGCCTCATCCATCATTAACTGCCGCATGCTGGCGAACCACTTTCGCCATGTTGACTCGTTTAACTCCGGGATGACAGTCTTAAAGAAAGGTCAGGGCCCACTGTTGCCTCGGGTGCTTCTCATGGGGTCTTTCTTCTTACGCTCACTGGAGCAGGTCTTTGGGGATCTGAACTACTACCAGTCGACCTTCATGCGCCACTGGAACCGAAGGCGCTTGTCCTTGGGATATTGGTTCTTTAAATCACTCGCGTTAACCTGCGGTTTCCTTAACGAACTGTTGCGGTTGAAGGCCACCATTACGTCGCCTCAGTGGCGCAAGCAAACATCACAGGAACGCTCAGCGACTCTAAAGGCGCTGTTTATTTCAATAGCCCGCTACGTCTGTGACATGCTGGTGTACTACCAATGGCTTCCATGGTACAACCCGTACAAGACTTTTCAGTACGTGTGCGGCTCCACCGCCGGCATTCTCGGCATCTATGTAGTGTGGAACGACACTCAGGCTGCTCGTGCAGCAGAGAAGAAGGTGACCCACCCAAGTAACGGCTCGAATAACGGTCAAAAGGTGGTGGATAATGCATCGCTCACCAATACTGCCGCTTCAAAATAAGAAAGGGTATATATATATATATATATATATATATATATATTTCTGTGCCTGCATGTGTGTAGGGCAGCAACAAGTAAACAGATGAAACAGCATGTTTGGTGGTGAATGATCGCACCAAACGAGTAAATGTGAAGCAGAGCAGCAGGAAAAACGGATTCCAATATAAAAAAGGGGTGTGAAAAAGAGGCATCAAGGCAAAACGAGTGAATGATTAAATAACGGCGAAGACGTTCTTTCCACGATTCTCCACCTCATTGACGTCTGTATTCGCGGTTTGTTGGGAGTGAGAGCGAGTGTGTGCTGCTCTGTGTGAAGATTCACGCCTGTGGTAACACCAGCCTTTAATTGGACACGTCGAAGCACGAAGCAAGCCGCTGCTGCAGCGTCGTTGCTCGCTTGCGCACTCTCTCTTGCGCGCGCGGTCTCTCTCTTTCTCTCTGTGTTCTTCGTGTGCGTTTCATTTACACACACTTCGGGGGAAGTGCGACATGTGGTGGAGACACCTGAACGGATGAATGCATGGGGATGTTGGGTGAAAGAGATCAGAGTAGAAAAAGGAAGAAGAGGAAGTAAGTAAAACAAAACAAAAAAATTGAATTCAAGGATCTAGGTTAAAGAAAGCAAGCCTAAATCATTGCTATTGTGGTCAGTGTTTTTTTGTGCTTTCCCTTCCGTCTGTTCCTAGTCCTTTGTTTTCTCCTTCTCTGCGTGTGTGTGTGTGTGTTTGTAAACATCACGTGCATTTTGTATTGCGAGAGGGTGTCTGTGTGTTTTTCTATGCTGCCTTTGCGCTTCTGAATACTCTCCTTTCATTTTTTCCTCCCTTTTTTTACTCTCTGATGCCGCCGCTGCCGCCGCTGCTGCTGGTAGTGTTGGTCGTGTTGGTCGTGGTGGCTGTTGTGCAGACCTTCTGCCTAACGTAGGACGCAAAGGTATGAAAAGCTGTGTTCATCCGTTGATGGGCCAGCTGCAGCCAATCTTTAGCGAGCTTCACACGAGCAAGGCTGCCACAGTTCCGTCTGTGATTTTGAAACTGGAGTACATAATCGAGGATGAGAGTGACACTTTCTTCCAGAGCAGCGGGGGCGGTCACTCTCGAGCCTCCTATTCAGGACTCTCAACTTGGATCAATGCCCAAATCGGAGATTTGTTCAGCAAGCCTGAGGCGCAGCTTGCTGGGATCTTGTGCGTCAAGGCGTTGTTGGATGTGGAGTACATGGACACTAATGGATCGACACAATTCTTTTTGCATCTGCTGGAAGGGTCGGTGACGTCGTTGTGTGATGTCGAAGTCTCGGCAAAGGCGGCTGAGGTCTGGGGTCTGTTGCTGAACAACAGCGGCAGTTTTGCTGAGGGAATCGCCTTGTCTCGGCTTCGTACCTGCATCAATGAGCTTCACAAGGTGGAGGAGACACAGAGAAACGTTGCTACATGTCTTTTTCTTCGTCAGCTTCTAAAATACACACCCTCATCCGTTGTGCCTTCTCTTGATGTTGTTGTTGAGGGGCTTCGAGTGACATTGCGTGCTTCATCTGTAGTTGTGAGAGAAAATGCCGCAGCTGTATTGCAGGATGCATTGTCCGTAATGTTTACTTCTATGGATCCTAACGCCGTGAGGAAATGGCTGGATACTCTGCTGGCTGATTCACTTCGAGGCCTGGAGGTAAAGGTGAAGGGGCGGCAGCATGGTGCAATCCAGTGCTTCAATGCTGTGCTTTCCTCCATTACAAGAGATGCAGCTTCTTATGGCCCAGTAGTATCATTCTCTCCTTCAGCGGTATCATGCGTACATGAAATATGGAAATTTGTCAATGCTAACATTGCCAAACCAACCACCGCGCCAGAAGTAAGACGAGAGCTTCTCCGCTCGTTGACTCTACTCGCTTCATACGATGCGGCAACATTCAAGGAACGTTCAATTTCGGATTTTTTTGCAGCTGCATCAGCGGTTTTTCGTGCTCCGGACCGAGGTGAAACACCGATTATGTTTCTGACAGTTGGAAAGCTTGCGACCATCTTGCAAGATTACGTTGCAGTTTTTCTGGACCGTATGATGTCACATATTGAGGAGGCACTTATTCGAAAGACCAAGGGGGATCGTTGCCTAGAGGCTGTCACGTGCTTCGCGACATTTGCGGAGGTGAATCCTAAAGCTGTGAGACCGTATCTTAGACAAATTTTGGCGCCACTCTTTTCTGGACCGCCGACTGTGGGTTTCACTAAGGACATTGCGCGAATATGTGCAGCCTTCCCTGAGTTACGTTACACTTGCCTCTCTAAAATACTGGAGTCGACTAAGGTGCAGTTGCTTAATGCTCATCACCGTCTATCTGCTGGCGCTGGTGAGTGGGGCACCGAGGATGGCCTCCCACTGAAGAGTCTAAGTGCGCTGAGTAGTTTGGACTTCTCCGGATACTCCACCCTGCCCTTTCTCTGCGATGCTGTCATCCGCTATGTGTCGTTCCCCCGCGAGGAGCTGCGCCGTGCTGCGATAAACCTTTGTTTTAAACTTGTATTATCAGGGTGTATGGGTCCCCAGTCGCCATGCAAGCAGACACCGGAGGGTGTTGTCGTTCACCATGGCCGCGACCACACAAGATTGATCAATACTGTGATAAAGAAACTTGTTAACGCTGCTGTTTCGGATCCAGAAAGTGATATACGTCTACACACACTGGAGAGCTTTACCGAAGAGTATGATCACACGCTTGCCCTCCAGGACGTCGCCAGATCCTTGTTTCCAGCCTTACATGACAAGCATCAGAATAGACTGGCTGTAGTTCGGCTATTGGGACGGGTTTCTCGCAGGAATCCAGCGCATATTTATCCTATGCTGCGTAAAATAATGGTCCAATGTGTGACGGAAATGCATTTCTTTGAGCATGCAAAGAAGCAGGAGCAGGCCTTTTCTGTCTTGGGAGCTATTGTGGAGTCTGCACCTGGATTGGGTAAACCGTACATATCATCATTACTGGGTAGCTGTGTCACGCGCCTACGCGAGCCGTCACACCCACCTGCTGTGCTGACTGCTCTTCTATCATGTGCTGGGAAGCTTGTGCGCTATGCCGAGGGAGATGATATTCGTCTTGCCGCCAGTATACGTCCTATTGTAGTACAACATGCATTAGATTCGTCACATTTGCCAAAAAAGAGGGAAGCTCTTCGAGCTCTTGGAGATATTGTTCGCACAACAAGGGATGTTAATGTTTTTGAAAGTCATCCAGAGCTTCTTTCAGTGCTTCTTCAGGCTTTGCACGGTGGGTTCAAAGAGTCTTGGCCTGTAAGAAATGATGTGCTGCAGCTCATGGGTATCATTGGCGCTCTGGATCCTATTCGGGTAAAGGAGATTCTTCACGCGTCACGCGTGGGCGACAGTTGTACCGAGATGATGCCCTCTCCTGGGCTTAGAGGCGAGGATTCCATTGCTCAGACAGTTGTTCGAAGTGTCTTGCACATTCTTTCTTTGCCTTCACTGACAGATGATCAAAGTGTGGGTGCGGTACAGGTTCTAGTAAATATCCTTTCATTAAAGGATGTGTCGCCCAAATGTCTTGTCTCGTTTTACCCTGGCAGCATCTCGTCTATTCTCAAGCATGCACGAACACAGACACGCAAACGCGAGGAAATTCTAACGCTTCTGACTTTGCTCGTTTCACATGTCAAGGATCACATTCGTCCACACCTTGACGAAATCGCGTCGACTGTAGCATCTTTTATATCGGCATCCGACCTTCCCGTTCTCAACCAGATCCTCGCCCTGTTAAAGCAACTCCGTCGATCCCTCCGTGAGGAATTCCGACCTTACTTGTCATCTCTGCTCATTCCAATTGTGAATGTTGTTGAAGAAAGTCCACAAACAACGAGCGAAAAGGTCTTTGGCTTTTTTGCGGCGATGGGTCCTCTACTAGAAGACCATCTTCACAATGTCTTACCAGTTGTGTGTAATGTCATTGTGAACACGAATTTTTCGGGCACATGTCGGACTGCCGCAGTAGGCACACTCGTTAGCTTCGCGTATCAGCTTTCCAATCTCAATTTTCATGCATCTCGCTGCATCCACTGTCTCTGTCGGGTCTTAAAAGAACTTGAGCGTACGAGAGCAAAGGCTGGGAGCTCTTTGGGTGATGCTACCCTGACGGCTTTGCACGCCATTGCGATGAACCTTGGGAAGAATTTTGAGAGCTTCATGCCGATAGTGTTTCCTGTGGTTGCTGGCTACTGTGGTGAGATGGATGAGAGCTACAAACATTTCTGTGGTATAGTTCGGGAGGCTGTCCGATCAAGGAAGTATCCAGAGGTTCCTCGATACCAGGACGACAAGAGTGGCAGCGCCCCAGCAGATTCTATGTCGAGGAATGAAGAAGCTAACTCGAAACATCCTTCTGATTCCTTTGCCTCCTTGCGGCTGGCGTTGCGAAATCGAGATCGATCAACTGATGAAGATTGGAATCACTGGCTTCCACAAGTTGCGGTAAATCTCTTGCGTTCCAGTCCATCACCTTCACACCGCCATGCCCTTACCTTGGCTGAGTTGTACGATCCCTTTGCACGTCAGATGCTGCATTCCGCATTTGCCACTTGCTATGCCGAGATGAACGAAATGAGCAGGCGTGAGGTGGTTGGTTTATTAAGTGAAGTACTACGTGGACCGCGAGTACCATCAGAAGTTTTGCAGGAATTACTCAACCTCTCCGAATACATTGAGCGACTCGAGATTCGTCTCAATGAGCGCGGCAAAGAAGGCGATGGTAGCTCTTCTAATCTGGGACTGTTTGATCTTCCGACTTTGATGGAAAGCAGTGAAAAGTGTAACTTGTATTCCAAAGCTCTACACTATGTTGAAATCGAGTTTTTCGAGACAATTCGCGAGTACGAACGAAGTGTTCTCCGAGGGATCCCGCGGCCACTCCCTGTTGAGGCGTGGCGGAATCTCTTACAACTATGTGAGAAGAGCATTTACATATGCAATCTTCTGGGTCAACGTGAGAGCGCAGATGGTGTTTTGAAATTCATCCAACAAAATTTTTCGATGCTTACAGGGCAAAAGGTTACTGAGCTTTCTCAAATGATGGACGCGCGGCTTTTCGACAAGTTGCAGTGGTGGTCACAGAGCTATAAGGCCTACGAGCGGCGTTTACGACATGAACCTAACAAGGTTTCCAACATGGTTGGCTTGATGAAAGCTCTTGATGCTCTTGGAAGTTATCCACGGGTTCTTGACATGTGGAAACTCTTTACAGGACGTATAAGTGCGAAGGAAGCTGTGGAACTGGCTCCAATGGGCGCCCATGCCGCGTGGCTTATGAGGCGTTGGGATGATATGGAACACATCACTAGTTTTATGAATGACGAAGGCTATATAGGCACGACTGCCGTTTTCTACAAAGCTGTGCTTGCTGCGGGAAAGAGACAGTTCCGTGAGGCGGATAGACTCATCAAGTTGTGCCGCAAACGCTTAGATTCTACCTTGTCTGCTCTGGTGGCTGAGAGTTATGATAGAGCATATGGGCTCTTTGTTGGTATTCAGCAACTTAGCGAATTGGAGGAGCTTGCGGCTGCAGCACGTGATCCACAAAACACGGTGCGGTGGCAAGAACTCTGGGAGAGACGACTTGTGGCGATGGCCTACGAAGGCTGGCCCGGTACATTAGCCAATCACACCCTGCTGATACCACCTTCCCAAGAGTTAGAAATGTGGCTTCGTTTCGTGGGCCTTAGCCGTGCAAATGGCCGAGAGCGCGTCTCATACGAAATATTGTGTGAGTTGTTGGGAGACGAGTCTATTGAGTCTGCTATCGCCAATCAGATCCCCAAGCCGGCAATAGCCTTGGGAGCTTTTCAGCATCTCTACGAGACAAACCAAAAAGAATCTGCAATTGAAAAATTAGAGCAGTACGTGGACAAAGTCGAACATATGGGTATTCAACAAGCTAGTCGTGGTAGAGAAGATTTGGCTGTATGCCACGCCAAATTAGCGGAGTGGCTGGCTCACCGAAAAAAAGCACATTATTCGATAAAAACACATCAAAACATTTTGCTTCACTTGCACCGTGCAACAGAGCTGGATAGCAAAAACGGTTCAATCTGGCATGCCTGGGCTCGCCTTCACCATGAGACAGCCATTAAAGACGCTTCTATGCATGCTGCAAATAACAGTGAAGAACATATTGTATGCGCCATTGATGGGTATCTCCGTAGCGTCTATTTCTCACAGGAGCTGGAGGACGCTCTTGGTTTTTTGTCACTGTGGTTTATGTATGCTTCACTGCCAGCGGTGCAGGGTAACTCAAACGTAAAAACTGCAATTAATCAGGTCAGCCCGACAGTGTGGCTAAAGGTGATTCCACAAATTATTGCCCGCATTTACTCACGCGATGCAGTCATTGCGGACTCTGCTTATCATTTGCTGGTAATTGTCGCAAAGGCACATCCTCAGGCCATTCTATACAGCTTGAACGTTGCAAACACGAGTTATCAGGGAAAAGGGTTAACTGAGAATATAGAACGCCAAAGGGGAACCCAGCGTGTGCTGGCACGTATTGCAGAGGTTCATCACAACGGAAAGGCGATGGTTAACGATGCTGCTCTCGCATGTCGCGAGTTAGTGCGATGCGCTGTATTGTGGCCAGAGTTATGGCTTGACGAGTTACAAAGAGCCTGGTGTCAGTGGGAGAAAGATAAGGATGCACATAACGTCCTCTTGGCGTTAAAACCGCTTATGGAGCAACTCAAGAAACCTGAGACGATGGCGGAATCTCATTTTTCTACAGTATTTAGTCCACTCCTCACAGAGGCGTGTGGTTATGTTGAGAAGGCTGCGTTGTTAAGGCGCGAAAACTACATGGAAGAGGCATGGAATCGATTCAAGGAGGCGTTAAAGAGGATGGATGAGCAGATCAGTGGAATGTCATCCCTAGCTTTGCAGTTGGTAAGTCCACGATTACTACAAAACGGCAAAAACTTGGCACTGGTTGTGCCGGGTCAGTACAAGGAAAACGGCAATTACCCTCGAATTTCCTTTTTCCAAAGCGTTCTGAAAGTGCTGAATTCAAAGCAACGCCCACGATGCATATATGTCAAGGGCTCAGATGGGGATCTGTACAGGTTTTTATTGAAGGGTCATGAAGATCTTCGCTTGGATGAGAGGGTGATGCAGTTACTTGGTTTTGCAAACACTATTTTGGAGAAGCATTCAGTGACCAAGCGCCGTAGCTGTCTCATTCAGACGTATTCTGTAACACCACTCAGTGATAACGCTGGTCTTGTTGGTTGGGTGGATCACTGTGATACACTGCATCAAATCATCAAAGAGTACCGTGTCCATTCCAAGTTTCTCCGCACCGAATTCGACTTGATGCGAAGGATGTGTGATGATTTGTTGCACCACCTAACGGTTATTCAACATGTGGAGCCATTTGAATTTGCTCTCGAAAACACTGAGGGCGCAGATCTTGTCCGCTCGTTATGGATGAAGGCCCCTAGTGCGGAGACATGGCTTGAGAGGCGAACGACCTATGTCAGCTCCCTTGCCACCATGTCAATGGTGGGCCATATTCTGGGGCTTGGTGACCGTCATCCGTCAAACTTGATGATGCATTCTTTTAGTGGTAGAGTAGTACACATTGATTTTGGAGACTGTTTTGAAGTCGCCCAGCAACGTAGTACCTACCCAGAAAAGGTGCCATTCCGTCTCACGCGCATGCTGGTCAAAGCTATGGAGATGGGCGGAATAGAGGGTCTCTTCCGCCATGGTTGTATCACAGTTATGGGTGTTTTGCGTGAAGAGGGAAGCAGCTTGCTGGCACTGCTGGAAGCATTTGTTCACGATCCACTTGTATCGTGGTGGCGTGATGAGACTGAGACTGACAAATCCAGAAACCAGGAGCATAGTGTGTCACAAACCGCCTCTGTGACTGACTCACTGCGAGCTGATCACCAAGAGTACGGTGTGGGAAGTTTACACACAACCCAGCGATCCATGCAGAGGTGGGGAGCGATGCCACACGCTGACACTCAAGGCAGAGAGGCAGCGTTGCAGCAGACCCGAAAGGCTCAAAGCGTTGTGAATCGTATCAAAGAAAAACTGGAAGGATTTGACTTTCCTCAAGGTCGACAGAGCCGTGACGATGAGGGTTTCACAGTGGAGGAGCAGGTCTCACGATTAATTGAGGAGGCTACATCAAACGAAAATTTGTGTGTTCATTTCCCTGGTTGGTGCCCTTTCTGGTAAGGTAGTTGCAGCAGAAAAGAAAACGAACAAAAAAAAGGAGAGCCACCAAACAGTCAAATGCCAAGAAAAGAACGCATAAGGGAAGGAAAGGGTGTCTATACGTGACGCGGGAAGAATGGCGTTTTTCGACATACTTCTCTGCACAAAAAAAATGGCTAGGTGACTGCTGGCTAGGCCCTTCTTTCTTGGCATACCAGACTGTGGCAAGTTGATTTCTACTTCGCTGCAGACATTAAGGTCTGCTGAAGCGCCTGCTGACACTTCATACTTCTGCTGTTTTTTCTTTTTTGTTCTTACTTTCTTGAAATGCCCTGCGCCCAGTGATTTCCACCGAGAGAGAACACACCATGGCTGAGGAGACCCAGGTAGAGAAGCAGGTTGAGGAGACCACCATTGTCAAGCCGGTCGACGTGGAGCCCGAAAACCTCAAGGACGCTATCCGCATCGTTGTCCGCAAGTCTCTCGAGGTGAACGGCCTCGTCCGCGGCCTCTCGGAGGTCGCCCGCGCTCTCGACCGCCGCACGGCACACATGTGCCTTCTCGCCGCGGACTGTGAGGATGAGGAGTACAAGAAGCTCATAAAGGCGCTCGCCAGCCAGTCGAACATCGACTTCGTGGAGGTCGATTCGCGCGAGGAGCTTGCGGAATGGGCTGGTCTTCAGAAGCACAAGAGCGACGGCAGCGTCAAGACCTTCAAATGCTCATGTGTGGCCATTCGCAACTTCGGCGAGCCCACCAGGGCACTTGACATGCTGCTGAGCCAGCTCGGCAACTAAGTCGATTCTCCCTTCAGTGGATTAGCACAACGGCCTATTTCTCTTTTTCTTTTTATTTTAAACACATTCTCTGTTCAGCTGGTGTGGGCTTTTTTTTTCCATCGCCACACGATAAAAAAACAACCTAATTATGCTCTCTGCACCCCTTTGGAATAAAAAAAATAAATTTCCTTCTTTTGTCCTCTCTTATCCTCCTAGGAAGCTGGTGCAAGAAACAAAACACCACGCCCCATAAAAAAAAAAAGAGTACATAAGAAAAGAGGATTAGTAGGCCTTCCTCAAACACAAGACAAGTGGGCACGATGCGCAAGACGTCTCGAACCATGCTACTACAATACTAATGGCTCAGCAGCATTTCGAAATGCGCACCGCCCCGAACCACACGGGTGACGGGGCCTTCTCCTCATGGAAACGGTTTGCAACATTTCGGGAACATGTACACTGAATTCCGTTAGGACCCACCATCAAGCAAACATTTAAGGCCCCAGACAGGCGTTCCGACCGTTGCGTCAGTGCTCATTACGTAACACCCCATACCTTCTGTTTTGTTCATTTCTTTCTTTTTTTCGCCCGATTCGGTGCCCCCATTCTCTATTGCCTCGCCTTTTTGTTGTGCTTCCCTCATTACATTCAGAATACACCAGCAAAGACAGCTGAATTACACAAACAACCAAGATGGATACAGCTCCC